TTTTGAATTCATAGTTCGATGGGATATTTGAATGAATTATATTGATTTATTTATTTCCACAATTAGTGTGCACTTAATTTGTGTGAACTTGGTGGTTTAATTCTGAATTTGAGAAAATTGGATTAAACTCGACATATATAATTCATCATAGGGTCAGATAGGAGATAGAAATATACCCCTATGCCCTATGTAAATCTTTAATTGCTCACAAAAAGATCACATGCGTTCTTGTATAATTGCATCCGTCATAGAGATATAGGCTGGTAATTTATGAGAATAGGTTCAATACATCTCGAGAGAGAGTATTGAATAGATTTAGGAGCATTGATTTGTCAAATTCTTATTGGATTATCAAAATTATGAAATTAGGATTTAATTAGTAATTATTTGGGGATTCGTGATCCTAGTACATTCGTTTTACATAGATTTTCATAAATTGACAATACATTTCATTTATTTTCAGAACATTTCGTAATTGAGTCGTTCGTTAAGTGAATTTAAGTAATTAGGTTGAAATTAGGGTTTTTCAATTTGGGGATTTCTCCCAAAATTAGGGCTTTTAATTCTAAAATTCATCTTAAATCAATTAGTTTCAGTTAAGGCTAAAATAAATAAAATTGAACTACTTTTTCTCTGTGGGACGATACTCGGACTTCTAAAGTCCACTTTATTACTTGTCACGACCCGTACACTTGCGGTAATTTAAATCGAAATAAATATTTCGCGAACAAATTTTTGGCGCCGTTGCCGGGGATTGAGTTTAGTTTAATTTTATTTCTTGAGGCACTAATTCAAACTCAATTTTTTTTATTTATTTTACTAGCATAATTTTGTTTTTATTTTAGTTTATTATCCTCTATTTGTGTTTTAGTTAATTAAATTGTTTGAATCTCAGTGCTTATACTGGTTTTAATTCTCAGATTTGCATGTTACGATTACCTGGAGGAGAATTGATTTCAGCTGATCCTGAAATTGAGCGCATCTTTCATCGACGACAAAGAGATCACCGCGAAGCACAAGTACAAATGGCCAACGAATTAAACAATCCCATGATTCATGTTAACGAAGGAGAGGCAATGGACGAGGGGAATGAGATTCTGGGGGATTTCTTGACTCCTCAAGTGATTCAAAGCCAGTCCAGCATAGTGTATCCACCGTTTGGGCAACCTAATTTTCAGTTGAAGACCAATGTGATACAGCTGTTTCAAAATGGACACCAATTTTATGGCAAGGCTGAAGAGAACCCACACATACACGTATCTCGATTTCTGGATATGTGTCAACATTTCAGATACCAAGGGATTTCGATGACGCTATTAGGCTGAGGCTTTTTCCACATACGTTACGAGACAGAGCACTTAAATGGTTGGATTCACTCCCGGTTGCAAGTATCATCACTACATGGAATGAGCTGGCACACAAGTTCTACACAAAGTTCTTCTCCCCAGCCAAGATAGCAAAGCTGAGACATGATATATCAGTATTCAATCAAGGAGAGACTGAATCATTTGATGAAGCCTGAACAGATTTAAAAACATGCTCCGAAAATGCCACGGGTTCGATAAAAAGACCCAGATCCGATTCTTCTACACAGGATTACTTCCATACCACAAGAACATGGTGGATTCAGGGTCAGAAGGCTCAATATCCACACGAACAGTTGATGGGGCATTGGAATTATTTGAGAGAATGGCTGGGGCATTGGAATTATTTGAGCGAATGGCTACCACATCAGCCATGTGGTCTTCTGAGAGAGCGACTCCAAAGAAAACTCCAGGTGTCTACGAGGTAGATGCTTATTCAGCAATCTCTGCAAAAATTGATTCTCTGTATCACAAGGTGGAAAGCATATCACAAGCATCACAAGCTAAGAAGAGCAATTGTGAGGAATGTGGAGCCGAGCACAAAACATCAGATTGCCCTATACTTATGCAAGGAATTGAGCAAGCAGATTACGCACAGTGGGGACAACGCCAGCAGTATAATCAATATGGCGAGACTTTCAATCCAAGCTGGAAGAAACATCCCAACTTCTCTTGGAGCAACCAGAATCAGAATAAGCCACAGGGACAATTTCAACAACAGGAGAAGAGGCCTCAATTGGAAGATATGATAGGAAAATTCATGGAGAAGGCCGAAGCTACATTTCAAAATCAAAATGCAGCCATCAAAAATTTGGAAACTCAGATGGGGCAGCTAGCCATCGCATTGATTGGCAGAACACCAGGTAACTTACCAAGTAATACAGAAATCAATCCTAAAGAGCAAGCCAAGGCCATTACAACTCGAAGTGGAGTGCAATTACCTGAAATCCATGTCAAGAGACTGGGGGTGATTGAAGAAACATCTTCTTCCGCTGAAGAAGAGACTGTTGTAAAGGAATCAAGTTCGAAGGAAAATTCAGAAGAATCACAAGATAAGGCCAAAGTCACAGTCAATCCCTACGAACCTCCGATTCCCTTTCCACAGCGCTTGAAGAAGCAAAAAGTGGAGCAACAATACAAAAAATTTATAGAAATCTTCAAAAAGCTCCATATCAACATCCCACTAACTGATGCACTGTTCCAGATGCCTAGCTACACGAAATTTCTGAAGGATATCATATCAAATAAACGCAAGCTGGAAGATCATGAGACAGTCATGCTTACTGAGGAATGTAGTGCGAGAATTCAGAATAAGCTTCCACCAAAACTAAAAGAACCAGGGAGTTTTATTGTTCCTTGCACAATCGGTGAAGTATATTTTGATAAAGCATTATGTGACCTCGGTGTAAGTATTAATTTAATGCCTTTGTCTGTTTTTAGGAAACTAGGATTGGGAGAAGTTAAAGCAACCACTGTGACACTTCAGCTGGCTGACAGGTCACTGACACATCGCAGAGGAATAATTGAATATGTGCTTATCAAGGTTGAGAAGTTCATATTCCCAGCGGACTTTCTTATCTTGGACATGGAAGAGGACAAGAATGTTCCATTGATACTTGGCAGACCATTTCTGGCAACAAGGAGAGCGTTAATTGATGTTCAAAGAGGTCAGTTGATTTTAAGATTGGGAGAGGAGCAGATATCATTCAATGTATTCAAGGCAATGAAACTACCAGCAGAATCTGACAGCTGTTATCAAGTTGACATTATTGATAAGGCAGTACAAGAAACATTTTTACTACACGGTCCATCTGATGCCTATGAGGCATGTATTGCACAATCCCAATTAATCCAGTCAGAGTCTTTTGAAGTTGAAACATGTGCAAGATTTTTGGAGACCAACCCGCTATACACACGAAAGAGGCACTTCGAAGAACTAGGGATGGGAAACACAAAGCCACTACCTTCAGTTCAGTAGCCGCCAGTTTTAGAACTCAAACAACTACCGCCACATCTCAGATATGCTTATTTAGGAGAATCAGATACACTTCCAGTAATCATTTCGAACACAGTCAGTGAGATGGAGG